GAGATTGAGCAGTATGGTATAAAGATATACCAGTTCCCTGATTGTGACTCTGACGAAGATGAGGACTTCAAGCAGCAGGACTACGAGCTGAAGGTGAGAGCCAAAGCCAGCAGATGTTTGTTTGTATCGTCTCTACAGTCTGAACCGGGGAAAACGCACATTAGTTTAAAATGCCTGAAAATGAAGTCTCACATGGATCATTCAAAATAATACTAATAGTACTATTTGCACATATAACATGACAAATGTTTAAAAAATTTAGTTTTTTAGGATTTACAGTTTTTTAAACACAAAACTCTAGTTACAGTATGTCACGAAGAACATATTCAGACATACAGTAAATGCATGACCTTCACAGTTAGTCCACGACTGAGTGTATCGTCTTGATGAGTCAAGCTTTCTCCACCCTGTCGGTGTGTCAGGTTAACTAACACACTGGGAAAAAAAGAGGACTGAGAAGAAAAAGAATGGGTGTACAATATGTTTGAAAATTAAGCAAGTTAATGCTGTAAAATTATGGTGTTCAGCTATGAATTATTACTCCAGACGAGATGAACCAGAGATTAGGAAGAAAAGGAAAGATGCTAGGGGAAAACCAGACAAAGGCACTGAAAAGGCAAGTGGATAAAAGATAAAGTCAACACTGCACCAGTCTCAGTGCTGCACTGGTCCATCCTTAACAACTGACTCATCTGCAGTACACCCTCCCCTGGCAGATATTTTGAGACACCTCTTTGATTTTATGACTCTTTGTTCTCCCAACAAGGAAAGCATCCCCTTTGCAGTAATTGGCAGCAACACAGTGGTTGAGGCCAAAGGGAAGCGGGTGCGAGGCCGTCTGTACCCCTGGGGCATCGTAGAAGGCAAGCGTCCCATCACAATTTAAAGTTTTGTTTGTGTTAACAAAAAAAAAACTGTACAAAGTTGAGCCTTTATGTGGTATTAGTGACAATGACAGTGCGTTGTGTGTTTCACTGATCCTTTGGCTTTTATTATCTTTTTATTCATAGCTGCCTTACATGGTAGTCATGATTCAGCCTCAGCAGTTTTTGCAAAATATATTGTTGCATGATTTCTCTTGGTTTGCAGTGGAGAACTTGGCACACTGTGATTTCTTGAAGCTGAGGAACATGCTCGTTCGCACACACATGCAAGATCTCAAGGACGTGACTCGTGAGATTCACTATGAGACCTACAGAGCCCAGTGCATCCAGAGCATGACCCGCATGGTTGTGAAGGAACGCAACCGCAGGTATGCTCACAGTGAAGCTGGGGGTACACACAGAAACACAAAGTTGTTTTATATGTACAAATATAGAAGGATGAAATGTGATGAAGATTAAGGAAATATTGTATGTAATCTATTACATACATATTTTCAGGTATTCCGATTCATAACATTGGAATTGAGGCTTTTTTCCCATGTATTTATTAATCAGTTAGGGGTTCTCTTATCTTTAAGGCAAACAAAACTCCCTGTTTTGGTGTAAGGTAGGCAGAGTTCAACAGCTGGTTACACATTGGAGTGCAAAAGGCTGATTTAAATGGATTACTATGTCTCTGCAGTAAACTCACCAGGGAGAGCGGCACAGACTTCCCTATCCCTGTGATGCCTGGAGTGACGGACAGTGAGACAGAAAAGCTCATCCGAGAGAAAGATGAGGAGGTACAGCATGCCGACCGTGAACTGGAGTCACATCACCACCAACATGATCATGACCGCGATCATGAACCAGAACACGGTTCTGATCTTGATGAGCATGCAGACCCACAGCCCAACCCAGAGACAGGGCTAGATCAGATAGACGATGAAGCCCTCTGAGTGTCTTTAGCTCGCAGATATTATTTAGCTATCATCCTTGTAGGAAGCGCACTGAGGTCATGTTTTCTGAGGCTGACAATGAGTAGCCTCAAAAACATTCAAACCTCAACTCCACTGCCCTCACAACTCCTTTGATCTGTGAACCATGTCTTGGAAAAGTGTGTGCCACCACAAAACTGTGCACTTAAATCACAATTTGTTCTATTCTGTATGTGCACTACCCTGTTCCATCTAGATAATCTCTGCCAGTGTGGTGCAAACACCTGAGACAAGGTACTAATATTGTTAGAGCTCAACAATAATTTTTAGTATTGCAGCAATTATATTCAAAGGCTAAACAAATAATATGATATAAATATGTTATGGAAAAATGGTATGGGCATTGATTATAGAAGAACATCCATAGAGGAAATATTAGATGAAGTATTCCTTTTAGGTTCCAAATGAGCCCAGTTACTGAGAGATTATTTTCCAGTGAAAGTAAGTGAAGATGAACTGAGCAGGCACACACAGTATAACACTGTACATGGTGTTAGTGTTCATTATAATCAAATACAGACAATAATACATCTGTTCATGGTGAATTGTCACAGCTGTTAAGTTCCTTCCCCCTTCTCCAGTCTGTTTATTTGATCAAATAAAGATAACATTTCTCCTCAGCTCTTTTTATTTTGTTGTGTAGCCAACATTAAAGCGTAGTTTAACATGTCAGTGTTACTGTAACATGGTATTATCTCATTACAGTATTTGTTGCCAAATGGGAATTTAGTTAGGTTTTTGCTAATGGGTGCTATAGTCAGCCCATATACTGTATTACATATAGTACAGTCACAGCACATTGTTACTTAATTTTTGACAATTTTCAGCAAATGTTATGGTAAATCCACAAAAAAAGAGCAACTGAGTTTTATTTGTTAATAGAAAGTGTTTTGACTTTAAGACTAAACTCAATTAACTGCTAGCTGCTAACTGATATGAGTAGCTTTTAAAGGATATGGTCAGTCATTTTCTATACTAATATTAGTTTTGACTATCCCCACACACAGACTAAAACTAGCAGTTAGGGGTTCTCACTGACTATTTGGATTAGCTTATTTGTCTGTGCCATAGATATCCATTGTTGTTCCAAAACACATAGGTCAAAGCCAGTGCTGCACTGGATGACATGTCTCTTCATTTTGAAACACCAGACCAGTACATTTGTTAAAAATATTGCCCCAAAATCTCCAAACAGCCATACGTTTGCCATGATCAACACAAAACAGATCCTGAGTGTTATCGATTTATTTGTGCAGTCAAATGTAAATAATTTGCTTGTACAGTGTCAAAGGCTGCACCACCTGTTGACATGCTTATGTCACCATAGATGTAAGAATGGATGTGTCACATCAAGCCGTGGGACTTCTCTCTCTCTCCCTCTCTCTCTCTCTCCCTCTCCTCCCCCCCCCCACACAGTTGCGGCGGATGCAGGAGATGCTGCTGAGGATTCAGGATCAAATGCACACTCAGAAAGATGCCTATTAGCACAGGACACCACCTAGTAGCACTCTGTATGTGTCGCTCACCCAGGAACGTACGTGGCCCCCCACCCCACCCCACCACTCAACCTCATCAGCTGCAATTTAACACATGCATCAGGGACCAGGTGGTAAGACGCTGTGACATTTGCAACTCAGCAACTCCCAATATCCTTTCCAGAATCTCTGATGTTATCAATGCCACTGCTGCAAACACTCAACCCTCCTCTACTCTACTGTTTTCTGTTCTGTCAGAAATATAAAATAACTTTAAAAATGAACTGATTTTATGTTGGTCTGTTTGAGTAAGTCAGTCTCTAGTTTGAAGTTTAGTTTGCATATCTGAACTTTATTTAGCCACATGATCACAGGGTTGTTTTATGTTTTTTTTTTTTTGTTTGTTTGTTTTTTACATAAGGCCTAATATGAGGTTTACATCAAAGTACTGGTGACCTCAGATTTTTGAAGCACACTTTTCTGGTGCAAGTGTTTATTTTGATTATCTCTATAATTCAAAAATGCATATATACTGTAATAATTTAATTTTCTCTTTTACACTCATTCTACTGTTTGTCATCTTTTATGAGTTCCTCGTTTTATTAAACTACACCTTGTGACACTGCTTGACATTATGTTGATGATTGTTTTATGTAGATTTCCCTTCACTTGAGGTTCCTGTTCATTCATTTGGTTTAATTTTTAAGTGATGATTGTTTAGATTTAGTTATATTTAGCTTTTCTCTGTGTCATCATGGTTGTCTTAATTGCCACCTCTGCTAGCTGACAGCATGGATGTTAGTGGCTCTGCTCAGCATTGGCCAGTCTCAACTCTCATAAGAAACCACTACATATAGTGACTGTCATATCAACATTTAATGACAATTTGTACATGGATGAGAATTCCCCAAAGCAGATTAGAGCTGTAGCTTCTGTAGCGTGACAGAGCCATCAACAGGCGACACGTCCTGTTAGTCCTGATTAGGACTTTGACAAGACATGACCCTTGTTTTGCATGAGGTGAGAGCCAAGAAAAGGGTCATATCTAAGGCCATGAAGTGTAGGCCTATTTATTTTTGTTTTTAGAAGGTTGTACAGATTGCAGAACTGCTTAGGGGGTCATAAGGTTATTTATGGGCAATGAAAAATATGTAGCTACTCAACAGCTGAGGAAAATACATTGAGGTGGATTTTTTTTTTCTTATTGGTTGTTCTAATGGTGATTTCAAGGGGAACTTGTATGTTGGGTGCGTGCTGACCTTAATGTTTATCTTATAATCAAAGCCAATAATAACAAACTTAATTGTTTAATTTAAGCATTTCTTTGCAAAGTGTGAATTTTGTTTTATATTGATATAAGCAACATTGTTTTGGAATAACTTATCAAAGAGCATTGATCAGAGTTATTGAATGAACTTGTTTCTCTTGCTGATCATTTCTATATTCTAAGTAAAAACGTTTTTTTTTTTTTTTAAATTTGATGACTGCCATGCTGTGTGACCTTTGTTTAAAAAAAATGTACATTCCTTGTCGCAAAATCAGGTATTACTTTTGCTTCTTAATTTGTTTGTTTTATATTAAATTCTACTTTTGTTATTCTACTTTTTGGAGTATATTTATGGAGAGGACATGTACAAATTCTAATATTGTAATAAAATATGAATATAATTTCATGTCTTCACGCATTGGGTTTTGTTTTATGTTGTGACAGCTTAAGCAGAATTGAATGCTATGGCTTGATTGAAATAAATGCATATAACTTGTCAAATTTTGAGTAAGCTAATCTTAAATTAGATTTTCATCATTCCAAAGTTTGACACGGGTTTAAGGATCGAAGGAGGGGAAGGAGGAAGGAGGAGGTGGGATTTATGACCTAACCTGCAACCAGCCGCCAGGGGGCGATCGATTGGCGGTGGCCTCATTTGGAGGAACTGTCAGACACTCCGTCTTATATACAGTTGATGGTTTAAAGTTAAATTTTGGGATCCTGTTGTGCGCCTATGAGCAGTTACACGTTTTGGTGACTTTTATTGCTAAGACAAGTTTTTAAAAAACTGAAAGTAAACTCAGAACAAACAAACCTGTGCAGTGTCACTGGCTAAGGCTCCCGAATTGCCCTTTTTCTACACACTCA